TATACAATTTTACATTAGAAGTTGTAATATATACTCCCAGATATTTAACCTTTTTCACTATTTCAAAACCTGTCAATTTAGCTAACATTTCATTTTCCTTCACAGTCATATTTTTAGATAGTATTTTAGTCTTATTATTATTTACCTTAAAACCAGAAACCTTCCCATACTGTATTATAACTTCCATCAAATCTATAACCGAATGAATCGGTTGGGATAATGTCACAACCAAGTCATCCGCAAAAGCTCTCAACCTATAATCATTCTGTTTTATTTTTATTCCCTTTATTATTGTTGATTCACGAATTTTGATCAATAAAATCTCCAATGTTAAAACAAACAATAATGGCGATAATGGGCATCCCTGTCTTGTACCTTTTTCAATTTTAAATTCCTCTGTTAATCCCCCATTAATTATAATTTGTGCCGTTTATAGCCCTGAGAGAAGATAAAAAATTTTCCCCAAAATTCATTTTATCAACAACTGTCAATAAAAATTGCCAGTTCAACTGATCAAAGGCTTTTTCAGCATCTAAAAATATCAGAGCCGCAGGGACTTGGTTGTTCTTATCCAAATATTCAATTAAATTGACAATTTGTCTTGCATTGTATTTCATATATCTTCCAGTTATAAATCCAGCCTGATCAGTATGAATCATTTGCTTCAAAACTTGCATTAATCTATTAGCCCATACTTTTGCAAAAATCTTATAGTCTGTATTCAACGACGATATAGGTCTATAATTCTTAGGCTGGGTAAGGTCTTGATCCTCCTTTGGGATCAGCGATATATATGCCCTCCTTCAAGACGGAGGCACTTCTCCTCCAGTCTGAATACTGTTAAAAAGTTCCTTTAATGGTTCTATCATCTCTTCAGATAGTGTCTTATAATAAATTGCTGATAATCCATCTGTACCAGGAACCTTACCTACTTTTAACTGTTTAATTGCCGAACTAATTTCCTCAGAAGTAATTAAATAGTTCATCTCCTTTTGTTGTCCAATTGAAAGTCTAGGGAAATGTGCTGCCTGCAGGTACTTATCTATATCTGAAGCTTGTATATTTTCCCTAGCATATAATTTTGTATAAAAATCTAAAAAACTATTTTTAATCAACTCTTGTTGATATACCTCTTTACCTTTATATTCTATTTTCTCAATAATACGTGCTTTCTGTTCCGTAATTGGTAAGCCAACCATCTACCAGGCTTATTTGCATTACAAAACGTGTTATGTTTCGCATAACGCAGGTTGGTTGCAACCTGATCAGCCATTAACATATTAAATTGCTCTTTCAACATATTTATAGAAACCTTTAATCTGTTATCTGATGAGTTCAGAATAAGAGCCTTCTCCTTCAATTTAATCTCTTCTTCCAACTCTTTACGTTTTTGCATCTGCTTACGCCTATGTCCATTATTCATATGAATCAAAACCCCTCTCATATAAGCCTTACTAGCATCCCAAACCATAGCCATCGAAGTACCTTTATACATATTCAGAGCAAAAAATTCCTTCAAATGTTCTCTACATTTCTGCGAAAGCGCCTCATATCTGAATAAATTTTCATTCAGTCTCCAAGATCTTTTATTCCCATCTTCAGCAAATAACTCCAACCAAACAGGACTGTGATCCGACAACATTCTAGGAAAGATCTTCGCCTTCTTAACCCTGGAAAAAAGATCTGTAGTAATTTAAAAAAAGTCAATTCTAGAAAATGATTGATGCCTATCCGAGAAGAAAGTAAAGTCTCTATCTCCCAGATTGCATTCTCGCCAAATATCTCTGAATTCCAAGTCATCTTTCAAATCAAAAAAGGCTTTAGGTAATTTAGAATGGTTAGAGGAGTTTTTAAAAGATCCCTTCTTACCTTTGCTTGGATCCCAAACACCATTCCAATCACCCATCATAATAACAGACTTATAATCCAATTGACTTAATTTATGATGTAGCAACTTATAAAAAAATTTTTGTTGTTGATTAGGGGCATATAATCCAATAATAAGAATTTTCTTGCCTTGTAACACTAATTCAATAATAACATATCTTCCTTGTATATCTGATTCAATTAATTTAGCCGATAGATCTCTTCTTACATAAATTACCACACCGCCCTTTTTATCTAAGGCAGGAGCTATAAAAAGTAATCCCAACTGAGAGCTCATCAAATGTTTTTGATCCTTCGCAACAATATGAGTCTCCTGCAAGCAAACAATGTCATTTTTATGTTGTTTCAAATAATGAAATACTTTTTTTCTTTTATGTGGTGAATTTAGGCCATTAACATTCCAGATCAGGAACCTTGCCATCTTTAATGGCCTGGAGCCTCTGGAGCACTGCTTGAAGATCAGCTGTTGGCCTCTTCAAACGTGCACCTCCCACAGGCTCTGTAGTAATCACACCTTGTATTGTTGATCCAGAATCAACCTTCTGCTTCTGTTCCTTTTCTTTACGTCTATACGCTCCACGAGTCATTCTTTGTTCCTTTGAATCCTTTGCCTCCAAACTCTGTTCGATAGGCTCCATCTGCGGTGACTCTCCTCCCACCATTGACGTTGCACCTTCTTCCAGCCTCTCATCCGTTCTCTTAAATCGTGGAGATGGTGGTGAACCTGCTTTCAGAACATGAGTATAAAAATCTCTTGCCTTTAAAATCGTGTTAAGTCTATATCGTGTCCCTGCATAGTTCACCACTATTCCGCTAGGTATCTCCCATCTAAACTGAATCTGGCGATTTTTGAGCTCCTCAGGCAAAAAAGCAAAGTCCTTCCTTCTTCTAAGAATCTTTGGGGGTATTTCTTTTAAAATTATAATATCTTGATTTGCAATTTGAAATCTCTGATTATAAAAAGCCTGAATGATTGCATTTCGAAGTGATTTCCTAGAAAAATAGATAACCATATCTCTAGGCAAATTCTTCTGTCTTGTAATCCATGAATTAACTCTGAATATTTTATCCATATCTCTTAATAATTCTTCAGGTTCACATCCCAAAATGGGAGCGATCGCTTTCACCACCTCCTCTTTCAATTCTTCTCGTGGATCCTCTTTTAAGCCTCTTATCCGTAATGCAAATTCCATCTCCCTGTATTGTGAAATAATAACTTCATCTTGTATTATGTCAATCTTATTTTCAGTTTTAATCACTCTCCCCTCTAATTTTTCAGTATTTTCCACAACCTCATCCACCCGGTCATCAAGACGTTCAATATGTGCAGCTAATCCTTGAAAAGCAAGCAGAATATCCTCCCTTGTCTCTTTGTTCTTGCTCTCAAAAAGCTTTGCCATCTCCCCCTTAATTTCCTGCATTGCTTTTTTTAAGGCCTCTTGAATATCTCTAAGCGTAAATGCAGGAGGCGGGGGGGAAGGTGGAGATAATTTTGGTTTAGATTGTGCTGCAGGCTGTGTTACCGGGGATGAGATCGTAGTTTTAGAAACAATTCCAACGCGCTTTGAAGCCATTTTCCTGCTTATATCTTAACACAGTACTTTCAAGCAAAAAAACAACACTCCAGCGCCATCTTTCCTTTTAAGACAAAAGTGCTCGCTTCGGCAGCACATATACTAAAATTGGAACGATACAGAGAAGATTAGCATGGCCCCCTTTTAAGACAAATCAAAGTACGGAGAAGATTATTCTCTCCGAGTTAAAGTTTCCAATATTTGCAATTATAATTCCTCCTGGTCAGCTCCGTCTGCTTTAAATTACTCACAGATCTCTTCAGAATGCAGAGGTGGGTGCCGCATCTTGCTTCGCTCCTAACATTCGGAGCAAAGTCGTCCTAGAATGCGGAGAACGCCTCGGGCTACGAGGGAGCTCAAACCTTTCACCCCCCAAACAAGAGGGTCCCAGTGAGCTCAACCTCTACCCGAGGAAAAAACTCGCCTCCCCCTCTTCTCCCAAGGGGGGGTTTCCAAGCCACGGGACAGCTGATTAACGCTGTCTCCGCGCGCTTTTATGCATTCTTAGGTCTGGCAGCCTAAAGAAAGCTGCCATCAGCGTGGCAGCTCCACCGGAAGCTCCTGAGTTTATTGCTTTTTATATACTTGTTACAAACACCAGCTTAACCATTAGATGCTGACAAAGGTTTCTTCATTGGAAAATGTCTTCATGTAAGCATCTATTTTCTAGTAACACATTACATGGTCAAAGACCAGGTAAGAACAAATACAGGGAGATGAAAGCAGAAGGAACTAACAAAGGCAGGAAAAGATAGGAGAAGGAACTTAAGCATATT